TAAAATAACAATCAATTAAAAATATATGTATATATATTTGAATCATATATATATATACATATATATATGATTCTGTGGTATATGTTTGAGTCTTATATTTAAGACTGATTGGCATGCTCAATATTATTAGTCTAATCACTTACCTTACTTGGTTTCATTATCAATTAAGATAAGAGAAAGCAGAGAGAAAGGGGTAGTAAGATAATGTAGAAAAATTTTATTCACTGAAATGGCATTCATGGATTTAGAAAATATTAATTACTGCAGAAAGTTATTGCAACAACAACAGCAGGAGTATGAATGAACCAGACATTTAAAAATAATTCTTTATTAATAATCCTCTTGTAGCATGCAATTTTACCAAGTAGATTATCTGATAATAAGATGACTGCATAAGAGATGAGTCCATGGCATAAATAAAGTTGATTTTACTTTTTTCACAGTCATGTTTTAAATGTTAACTAGTCTCTAGCGTAGATATTTTCTTTCCACACGTATGTATTTCTGTACACACACTCAACAACCTTCATTCCCCCATCCAACTAACATGACTTCCTGATGCTTATTGGACATTTATAAATATCTGTACTTGGCGAATTGAAAAGTTAGGTAAAAATAACTCTCTCATGAAATAGAAACCCCTTCTTTTCATTATATAAGATTATAAAAATCATGTATTGAAGAATGCATTCTTGGGGTTCTTGTAGCTAATATTTATTTTATCTGATATTTTCATGACTATTAAAAAAGACAACTACTATAGCCTAGTTCTGGGAGTAGAATCAGGCCAAGGATGTCCATGGAAGAGAGAAATTCCTCTGATCTGTAAAATCGACACTGCATAGCTCTGGGTAAGAAAACACCTTTCTCTCCTTAATGTCTCATAGCAGCCCAAACTTTATAAGCTTTGGATTGACCTTGCCTTCGGTTCTTAGTACTTACCACTTTAACCTGAGACTGCCACTCCTCACACTAACACTGAGTATTGTGAGCTCCTGAGAAGCATTGTGATTGAATTCAAATTAAGTATTGTTTCTGTCTAAATATATTGTAACTACTACATAGACCACTGAAATCAGTTAAGAAATAATTTTCTAAACCAAGTTTCTTTTTCACGTGTCCCTGTTTTTCATTTAAATAAATTGTCAGGAGGAAAATATTTTACCCAACATATGCTGTTATGTGAATTCTGTTATTTATACAGTGGTCCCCCCTCATCTGCAGAGGATGTGTTCCAAGACCCCTAGGGGATGCCTAAAACTTCAGATAGTATTGTACCCGATTACCATCAACTGGAACATGTTACAGTTCATGTCTTCTACCCAGAAATTTAATGTCTTTTCCATTTTAACTAACCAACTTAACTAACACACCGGTACTGTAACTTTTGCAGTTTGGGGTTCAACAACAAAACTAGCATGAATTCTGTTTTCCTACTTTACAACTTCATAAATAGGATTTATTTGTATAGCAGATCTTAGCAACCTCCGTATATGACTTTTATTCCTTTCCTATTAAGTTGAAAACGTTCACCCTTTCACTTAGAGGATGCATTTTACGTCTCCTCCTTGGCATATCCGAATTGCCAGCCTCACTATTGTTGTGCTTTGGAGCCATTCTGAAGTAAAATACATGTGATTTGTACATCACTCATATGTATGGTGATACTGGGACAGTCCTACTGAAAATCAAGACAGCTACTAAGTGACCAATGGCCAGGTAGTATAGAGACGCTGGAGTAAGGGATGATTCACATTCCAGTAGGACAGAGCAGGATGCTGCAAGATTTCATCATGCTGCTCAGAAGAGCACAAAATTTAAAACTTATGAATGGTTTATTTCTGGAATTTTCCATTTAACATTTTTGGCCCACAGTTGACAGTGGGTAAATGAAACTATGGAAAGCAAAACCAAGAATAAGGGGGAGCAACTGTGCCATGTATAAGGTTACATTTAAAATAATTTCTTTTCTATAAATATAAAGAGCTTGACCAACAACAAGGAAATTAAAAATACAATTCTGCCTTTCAAATCTATAGGATAGGAGTTGACTAATGCATCAATATTTTAGTAATTTGATTTCCAACTTTTTCCCTATCTTTCTTTAACTGAAGATCAAAATTGTGACACATCCCAATTTAAGGTTTTTCTGAATAAATACTTTCTCCCGGAATATTAAAAACAAAATTGAAGTCAAGTCTCTTCTTAGTTCTTTCTATATCTCAAAGATGTAATTTATTTCCATTTTACGCTATTTTGCCTTGATATTATCTTCTGCTTCCAACATCTGGACTTTTTTATTTGTTCTTCAATGTAAATATTTTCCCTGCAGTTTGCAACTACCGACCTTCTATCTTAAGGGTAATCAATTCCAATTTCTTGATTTCCCAATGTTATTCCTTCTTAAAGTATCATATTTTCAATTTTTACTCAGCCAAATTTCTGTATTATACTAGTTACTTAATAGCAGCTGATAGAAATTGCAATAATAGCTGAGTCTGAATACTGGGTAAAAAGATACTGAGTGTGCTACAGCCTGTTCTTTCTAATCTGAAGTTCAAGATTAAGGCTTTTTGTGTGTGTGTAGTCCACAAATATTAAATTCTATATTAATTTAATCTAACAGCATGCACACCTATTATTGTGATTAATCCTTAAATAAAAACAGCAGTAATTAGTTGCTTGTATAATATTTGTGCTTCCCATAAATATACTGTTTAGATGAATATTACTCCTATGGAAGTGAATGTTTCCACAGGTTCTAAATAGCCAGAAGGAATTATGAGGAGTGTTTCAGTTCTAATATGTTATCTTGTACAAATATAAAATAGAGGTTAAAAACCCTTACAGCCTTACATGCAAATTTGAATAACAAATATTGGAGCATACTTTTCACCTTGAGCAGCAACTGTTAGACATGTGAGAAGCTTTTTTAGTTGGTTCTCTTCAGTTTTTTTAGGAATAGAGTGAATGGTTTTGAAAATAGAAAAAAAAAGTTTAGATATGTATTATGCATTTTATTTACTTAGAAGTCATCTTCAAATTTATTTTAATAACTATTAAGATTATAACAAAATTATTTCACTGCATTTATTCTCTCCTGGATAAAAATAAATTTATTTAGGAAGAAATTTAGATTCAGTAAAACAAAAAATGGTATTTTAATCTTTGAAAAAAATGCTTACAATATAAATGCAAAATTTCTAGTAATTTTTTTTCACTTATTATGCCATAAATTTGTAAATGCATTCTTTGGAGAAGTAGCTTTCAGAAGACAAATGTACCTATAGTTATACAGAATTTCACATACTTGATCAAATATTTAACTTAGTTTAATATTTAATCAAACCTTTTTTTCTATTCTACCAAGTTGTAAAATCATATAATTTTTAAAATTTTAGCTTACTACTATCAATCCTATTATACTTAATAGTCTTATAAGAATTTTCATATAAAGGCTAGTATTAAAATAAATGATTTTAGGCAGCTATTTCATTCTGACACCATAATATAAACAGAACTTTATTTTTACAAAATTTATTTAACAACCACAATATTAATAGAAGCATTTTATTACATTAGCACTGATATATTAAACAATAGTCTTCATGGAAAAGATGTGTGTGTTTTGAAATAGGCTGCAATTTTGAAATTTGCAATGTTGAATTAATACAGTTATACATTCATTTTAATCAATATAAACCCTATAATAATTAAAAAGGGTTTTAATTTTTTGAAAAATCTCCTCTTCATTTGAAAATAGATCGTTTTATACTGAAAAACTTACTTTTAGTGCAAATAACACTTCTTATGGGTTTTTGCATGCTGTTACCATATCTGATTACTTCTACTCAGAGTGGATTCTTTTATAAAGAAGACTTTGCAAGCTGAGTATGTGTATAAATTTATTACAAAGTTTTTGAGGGCAAAAGGAATATACATATTAGTCTGAAGCAAATTTTTCAATTTCTTCCTGAAACATAATTCATTTTGTCATTTCAAAACTTAAGATCTGAGCAAAATATAGGTCAATTGTCACAACAAGACAACAAAACAGTTTTTTACATCGGGCCTTAATTTCTTTTTTAATTACCTTTTTAAAACGACGTGTGTTTGTTGTCTCTATTTTAATTAAAATTTTATTTCTTTTATTAGATCTTAGTTATCTGGAGAGACTAAGAAGCCTTCTCCACTCGATTGTTTTACACAAATTTTCACTCCAATTTTCAATTTCATATTTTCATATAAAATTTGAGAAAGGGTGGAGAAATATAACTGCAGAAATGACAGATTGAAAACTTCAAAATACTGACTTTTCATTACTTTGAAGAATAGAAAAAAGCAGCCCAAGGTGTTCCCGAAATCAAAATCAGGTGACCTTTTCAAAAGTAGAATATGATGAGAGCTTTTAAATTTCACAGATTAAATGTTTCTAAGAGCTTAACGTTTCTTTCCTCTGCTTACTGCGTGCGACTCTGCCATCTGGCTTCTGTAACTGGTGTCCTGCCTCTTTGAGACAGCAGAGGGCGCTCTGGCATTGTTGACACCCGATACCTCCCGATGCACTGCGCTAGCATCTTGTTCCCAGGAAGGAAACGCTATTTCCCTGGAGGGTTGTCGTTGAGAATCTCAAGGGGTCAAGCTGTCCCTAAATTATTCTGAGAAGCTTTAATTTCAGACCACTAGAGGAAAGTTGTGATTGTCAAAGGACTACCACGGCAGGCCATGCCGAAGTTCTCCAATGGCCATGCCTGGGTTGTTTCATTGCAAAAACTGCTGCGCATACAATTTGATGGGGGGAAAATTTGTAATAGACATTAAACTGGATGATTATCTTCAAAAGAAATATAAAATAAATAGTCTTTAAAATCTAGAAACACTACGGTTCCATAACCACTCTGGATTTAATCTCTGCAACCAAATTACTAAATTGTGTGTTCTCTTATTTAAGTAGTATTTTATCCTCTCTCTTTCGTATCACGTATTTCATATCTATTTGGAAAGTAATTTTTAAACTGATTAAGCTTTCCGAAGGACGGACGGGTTTAGAATGTCCTAAACAGGTAGGATTAGGATGAGGGGGATTAGGTGTGTTCCTGTTAGTTAATATGAATGACAGCAGAACTCCGGTAGGACTATTTTGCAGCCTTCAACTCTTGTTGCTTTGTGAATTATACACGTCGGTGTGGACGCAGGAGATCAGCGCGATTGGATGAATACTGGGAGGAAATCATGGCTTCCATGATAACGTGTAATGCTTTAAACTCATTTCAATTTCCAGTGGCTGCTTTTAATTGGCACAAGAGGAATATTCCCTACTCTTTCCTTTTGTCATTTGAGTAGCCTCTATTTTCCAGTGTGCTTTACCTACTCATTGTCAAATTGTATAACATTAGGTATCAACCAAAGTAACCAGTGGATGTGAAACAGCTAACTTGTAAGGTATAAAATCCGAGGACATAAAAAAAAAAAAAAATAAATCCGCCCTGAGCGAGGGGGCAAGGAGATAGCACGCGGAGGATATTGCGACTGGCCGCTTTATTTCATGAATCATTTGACACATGTCCATCAGGTGCAAAAGAAGGAATCATTGAAAACATCTCTTTTAGGTCATTGCCAAGCTATGCATCAAAATCGGTGCTGCTGCCTCTACTGTCCAATCTGAACTATTTTACCTGTTATTAACTTTTAACAGCGTTTATGTTTGTGAATTTATAAACAAATGCAAGCAAACGCACAGCAATTTCTTTTGACAGCCTAGCGCTGGGTTCGAATGGGTTGGTTTTCCTTTTCTCTCTTTCCCTTCCCATTTTGATTCATTAGTTAGGGAGTTTAAATTTTTATTGTTTGTATTTAATGCTCTCAATATCTAGCTGAGGGCGATGAAATATGCTGAGAAATTTAAAGATGTGTTGACATGTTATATCAATACTGACCCATCCGACCCTGACTCCTAAAGCAAATCTCTTCATTGCATAAGCTACAGAAAAGCGCTCTGCCTCTTTCTGTCGGGGGAGCTGTGAGAAGGAAGCTGCTGTGGTCTGTTTTTCCGCAGTGCGGTTTCAGGCCTCCCGGCCTGCCAGTGCCGCCCGCCGGCGGGGACGTGCGGAGCAGGCTCGTCCGCACTCCAGCCGTCTGCAGAGCTCTGTTCTTGGGACCCGCCTAGGAAGGCTGTCCTGCTAAGAGCCTGACCCAGGGTGGCAGGCTGCCTGGGCTCTTGCCCTGCCTCACCTAGTCCGTCCCCCGTCCCATCCCTTCCTGGTAAGCCTTGAGGCTCACACGTGAGTCCGTCGCAAGTCCCTATGGTGACCACATCAGCACTAAGATCCACAGCTCAGAACCTTATGTTTCTATGTTTTAAGGAAGATGATTTAAGAAAGAAAGAAAAATAATAATAAAAGACTTCATTCTCCTCAATCTCCTTCTTGCAAGTCCTTCCCACTGCTGAGATTCGGGTTTCAGCGGAAACAAACTGAAAATTCTTTCCAGTATACTGACTGTACGTGTGCATACCTACGTGAAGACTGAAAAGTACTAGCCAAGTGTGGCGACAGCTAGAGTGAACTATTTCTGTGAAATATTGCTCCGCCGTGTGTGGCCTTTCCTTCCTTTTAATTTTTATTTTGCAAATAACCTAATATCCTATTATTATTTTGGGTGGGGGTGGGATGGTCCTCTTGCTTTTCTAGTTTAATTACGGAGAGGGAAGAGGGTCACGGTCAGCACCGCGGACAGCGCCAGGCGCTGAGGGCGCGGCCACTTTGGTGCATCCTCTTAGCTCCTCTCCTTTGTTTCCAGCCCCTGCAGGGCAAGGCAGAACAAAGACATCTATCAATGCTGGCTTTCTCGGCCTGGGTTTTTCTTTGACTCCAAGGCCCTGGTGCGGAACTACTACCTTAACATATAGTCCATCTCACTGGCTTCCAAATAAATTAATTTACCGGGTCCTTCTAAAGTTTCTGACCTGGTCCTTTTCTCTTATCCTAGTTCTTTGACCGATTTGGCCACTGCGACAGTGCCAAAACAAGAAACTTATCTTTGCATTTTAAAACCAGTCAAGGACGACTCAAGACTGGGAAGAGGAAAAGTCAAGGGGGAATGAGGGCATTGGGTGTTGTTCCGATCTTCCCGCAATAGTTGAACCGTTTGAGGTTTCCTGTGCAATATGGTCAAGGAGCCATTTAATGTTATACTCCTCTCTCTCTTCTGCTGTGTTCTCCCAGCTTGGCCCAGGACTGCAGACAATCGCACTACCGGTGCTTGGAAGAACCAGTGCTTTCCAAATGCTTCAACTCTCTAGAATATTTATACATACGGGAACTACTGCTTTCCTGACAGCTGTCCATGTAGCTACCCTAAAATCCCCTTTGGAGATTCACTTGCAGATTTCTGAGGCTCCAGCTGAAAAGTATGAGCCTTTCACTTTCGAACAGTTGGCTGATTCTGGAATCAATTCTGGTGGCTTTATGGGGCAAGGGCTGGGTTCATTCTACCACCCGCTCAAATCCCCTGCAATTGCCTTTCCCCCTGCCTGACCCTGAGATGCTCTGGTGTCCTTCAAGTGCAGCCGTAGGCTCCGCTCTTGGCATTCACCGCGTGCCTTAATTGTATGACATTAAATCAAGGTCCGCTGTGAACACGGAGGGCAGAGTCTCTGATCTTGATCCTGAAAATAACAGACCCACTGTAACTACCACACTTCTTTCCTTGCTCATCCCCCGCCTCCAGCTCTGAGTCCTTACCCCCAGAGTCATAACTCATAAGCCCAGCTCCTGTCTCAGCTCGCCTCCTGCCACATCTGCCAGAATCCCTGTTAATTAGGCTGTTCCGTGCAAGAGTAGAGGATGCACGCGTCTGCGTATGCATATGCATATATCTGCACGCCATTTACTACACACCTAAACACATACATACACCTATAAATCTAGTTTTCAAATGACGGCGTGGATCAAGTTAATTACCCCTCTGGTACAGATCTAATTTTGTAATCGTGTTATTTTACTGGAGGCAATTAACCCAGCTGGTTTGCCCTGAATCCCTACTAAGGCACTTGTAAGGAATGGCAGGTTTTTAAGGACCTCGCCATTGCATGTTCCGATGCAGAAACCTTTGCCAATCATTTCTTGCTGTCGGGGATGAAATCTAGCTTACAAAAGGGAAAATCAGCACGCGTGTGTGCAAGTAAGATACACACACAGATATGCCCGTTCTCTGTGTCCTCTGATTACGTTACCGCGGTTTTAGTTGCGAGATTTGGGGCAAAGATGAGAGTCCAAGGGCGGCCTGGGTCATCTTTCTTTGTAATGCGGAAAAATTAACTCAACCGCACCTGCCTAGTCCCAAGAGAGCTGGGCGGCCCATCTGGTCTGGCTACGGGTTTGCTGCAGAGAGAAAAGGCTGCTGGCTAGGGCTTCCCCTCTGCCTGGGAGCGCCGACCTCGGGTCTGGGCCGGGTTCGGGGTTCAGTTCGGGGTAGCGCAGCGGACGCGCACTCCTCAGACTGCGGCAAGAGTCGGGAGGCTGGCGGCGCCTGGCCGGGCGGAGGGAGGGCGAGAAGAGAGAGGAAGGGATGAGGGGAGTTGACCTCTACGGGCGGAGCCCTCTGCGCAGCGGGCTGGAGGCAGCGGGCGCAGCGGCTCTTTTCACGGCGTCCCCTACGGCGCGGTCCGCCCGAGGGAAAGGCCAGCTCCCGCTCCAGCGTCCGAGGAAGGGAGAGAGCGCGGAGAGCCGGTCTTAATGCAGAGACCCCAGAACGCGCCCCTGAAAAACAGAATCAAAGCGCAGTATTAGAGAGGAAGGCGGGAGGGAGGAGAGGGGGCTGGAGAGAAGGGACACGAGGCGGGAGGGAGCACTGGAGGGAGACGAGGCGACCACAGGACAGGACCCCAGGCGGCTGGTCGCGACCTCGGTCCCTAGGCTTCAGCCCGGCGCAGAGGGGACCCGCGGCGCACGGAGCCCGAGGCCCGCAGGGCGGCACGGTGGCCGCGAGCGCGGGTCCCGGCTGCGGGAGCGCGAGGAGAGGGCCGTGCGCTGCGGCCACCGCCGCGTCCAGACAAGCGAATTCGGAAGCTGGAACAGTAAAAACATCCGCAGATGGTCCTTCTGTGCAGTGCCAGCCACTCCTGCATCCCGCACCCCCTTTCCCCAGCCTCGCCCCCTCCCTTAGACCACACGCCAGACCCTCACTCTCCATTCTCCACCCCTCTTCGCTTAGGACCCTGCAAACTGCAAGACCCGCAAGAAAATCGAAACGATCGATGAGAGAAAGAATGACATATACATATAGCCCTAGAAATCTGAAGGAGAAAGACCTGCTAGCCCTGCTCAAACCTGCAGAGGACCAAAGCGTTCCCAATCGCAGCTCAGCGCGTTCGCGGAGGAGAGAGGAGGCTGAGAGGCTTCCGCGGTCTGAGGTGCTTTAAGGTGGGAGGTGGGGGTGGGGAGGGGGTGGGTCGGAGCGGTCCGGTCTTTCCCCCTCGCTTGCTGATCCAGAATTAGGGATTAATGGCTCGCTCCAGCCAAACAAATAAGGCATCTGCCTTCAGCACAAGAGGATTACACGGGCTGCTGACGTCACCAGTCAGACAGATGTTGGCTCCCAAAGTCCTGAGCAGCTCGCTGTGTCCTTGAAACCAAAGAGCCGCAGAAGGCGCGCAGCCCCCAATTGCTGAGCCTGGGTACGGCAAAGGGCGAGAGCCTTGCCCTTGCTTGCACCCCCCTTGGTGCCAACACTGTGGCCCAAAGACAGCTCCTTAAGACGTCGTGCCTCCAGCCTCTCCAGCCCTTCCCTCACTGCCCTCCTGTCAACGCCCCAGGCTCACCCAAAGCAAGCCCAGATCACCGTCCTCGGTTTCCTCTCCCTAAAATGGAGACAGGAGCCGACAGCCCTCTCGACATCGCATCTAGATCCTCGCTTTTAAGCTCTCGGGCATTTGTTCACTCACATTCGGTTGGTCAAGTAACGACAAAATAAGCACCTTAGGCCGGACAGAATCCACGCTCCAGATGAGGGACCGCCTCTTAATTACGTGCGCAAGCAGCAGAAGCACAGCTTATCCGCATTGCCTTTTCTCAACCCTGCAGCCATCCTTCCCCCAGGTCAAGGTTTAGGTTTATGCTTAATCTTACCACGAATGCCATCCCGGACCAATGTGACTTTCTAAACAATGACTCTCTCCTAAGCTAACACTGCGTCCCAACCAGAGCCCTGGGCCACCACTTGGTGACCCACTGGGACCTCACCATGGTCCTGATGAGGACACCATCAAATGTCATTGCATACTCTTTTCAAGTACTTTGAAGACATTGTCCAAGGGGGGAAAAAGTGTTGTGTGTTTGTGTCCTAAACATTTCTAGCATTTAATTTGAGGAATCTGCACATTCAAAGAACTACAGTTTCCTTTATAGCCAAATGTCATGAATAAAGATCCAGAATTAATTTCTTTGTAAGCTCAGACATCCCTTTAAATTGATACCTTAACTTAAATTTAATTATAAACGATCTTCATTTCTCTAACTTGCATATTATATTTGCTTTATATGATTTTCCAGGCCTTTACAGGTCACATTAAAGTCAAGTTACCAATTAAGTAAAAAGATACATGAAACTAGAAAGTTAAAAGAGCAATTTTGAATGTGTTATGTAACCCACAGATGAAATGGTTTTAAATGAATTTCAGTTTTGTAAAGGAATAAAGACAATTCAAACAATGCGCAAAACAAAATAAATTGATTTCCGGCTCAGAGCCACACTGAACCAATCCTATGCCCCAAATCTAATCAGTACATATGAAAAAAATGTGACTTTCTTGGAAAAAAATAAATGTTTGTCCACAACATTTCACTGTCAGTTATAGACTACAATGCCTAAACAGGGGTAAAGGAGTAGCTGGATTATATCTCCATTCATATTATCCTTGTCTATCAAAGTGGCATTTAATTTTTCCAATTCTATGCATTTAGAAATTCAGCCACTGATAAAAATCAATTTAATTTGCTCTAGTGTCATTCAGCTAATGCCAGCTTAAAATAGTAAAATTTCTCTATCCCCACTCTGCTTCAAGGCCTTAAAAGAAACAGTTCACATCTAAAATGGAAGGATTTAAATGTTATTTACCACTAACAAAAGGTAGACTTCATCTTATTTTAATTGAATAAAGAACATGCATTATTTGAAATTGGATAAAATAAAAACTGAACACATAAATCATTGTTTCTTTGAAACTTGGTAGGATGAGTTTGAAAAACCACATTTTAAAAGAGTCTAATTCCTTTTAAAAATCATAAAGATTGTTTTTGACTGTCAACATATTTTGAATGTAAACTTCCATTCTTGTCTCACAAAATGTTACTAGAGTCCTTTTCGCTCAGTAATTTATATTAGTTCGCTGTCCATGGTCTTGATCCACATGAAGGGAGAAGCTAGTAGAGCCTTTTGAAAAATGGAAGTCACAATGCTTCTGCACAAATTTGACTCCCTAACATTTTAAGATGATGTCAAAGGTGGAGGAGGAACTCTATAAGCTTCAAGTTTTCTCCCCCATCCCAGTTGTTTTCAGTTTTCCTTATTTGTCATCAAATTGAGAGTACAGGAAGCAGAATGGCAAAGTTTGCATTTCGTTATTTTTGAGTTGATGAAACTACCACCCCACTTAAAGATCCAAAGAATTGCAGTAAATAAGAAATAATATTTTTTCAACCTGCAATACTCTTTTTCTTTTTGCCTTCAGAAAAGTAATGCAGACATTCTTGTATAGGCATTCTTGCCCACCTTTACATATGGCTTAACAAATACAGAAAATTTTACTAAGATGACAAATTATTTTTTAGAAAGCCAAACAACCTTCTCATTTTTCTCTCTCTATATTTACGTCTCTATATAGAGACATGTAGATAGATACCTCACACACACACACACACACACACACACACACACACACAAGCACTAAGAGCATTAAACTAAATCCCTTCTTGAACACCCTATACTTCTTTTCTAGGGAATCAAAGAAGGCATATGCTCTAGTGGCTAAGATACTGAATAATTCCTCTATCCAAAATAACATTTCATCTTCGGTTTACAAAACAAAAGGCTGACCCCGAAGAGTAACATTTAACCTCTCCTGGGGTTTCTTGTTGTGGGTAGGGGGGGGAGAAAGGAAAAGAAATAGTCTCCCTTCCTTCCAAAAATTTAATTGTCTTTCCTCCTTTATTTTCCCCTTCAGATTATCAGGAAAAAAATGTTATTTGTATGTGCATATACACAAACCCATATAAACAGACACCTATTTTCCGAACCCCTGAGAGTCGCTATGGATCTTTGGAGAGCGCTGAGCCGCACAAACCGGTCCTGTCTGTGCTTTGCTGCAAGTACCTCAACGGCAAGAAAACAGGCTCCTAGTTTTAAACCGAAGTCGGCACTTACGCCAGGCCACCGAGCCGAGCCTCAGCGATTCACACTTTTCTGGGCACCAGAAGGCTACTTTCTTCGGAAAAAGTATTTAGAACTTGGAGAGATCCTTGTACCGGAAGAAAATGGCCTAAACACAATAGGACTCGCCATTTTCTCCTTGCGAAGCACAAAGCGCTTGGCGCTGCCCGCCACACAAAGAAAGCCTGGGCCCGCGGAATTCTTGCACATTTTCTGGAGGCCAAAAATCACCTTCCCAGAACCAAAATTTCTCCCTTCTGGGCGCTCTAAGACACAAGCACTCTCCTACCCTCGCTCAGCCCTCGTCACAAGCAGACCCTTTATTTGCGATGTGGATAAAAGACGCACCGAAGGCGCGACGCTAAGCTAACCCTGGCAAGAATAAGTCCCGAAAACCAAGCAAGGGGCCTCGTCCGCGGCTGCCCGAGGCTCCCATCTAGGCCCGGGGTGCTCGGGTCCCCTCCCTCCTCTTCAGATCCTCCTTCCAATTCCATCCTGTCTCCCATGCGCCTCTGGTAGCCCGGGAGCTCAGGGATCTCGTGGCCAGATTTCCAAGCATTGCCAGGAACCAACCTTCCAGCCCGGGGCTGAGCCGGCGGCTCTCAAGGATGCCGGCGACGCGGGAACCCTCGCCCGGCGCCTCCCGCCGGCCCCCGCCCGCCGCTCCGAGTCACCGCGTCCAAGTCACCCCGTACCCTGCTCTGCACGCCCACGGCGCGCAAAAAACCACTTCTCCCGCTCACGTGCGAAAAGTGCAAGCTTCGAGGCAGCCCCTGTGAATAAAAAACGCCAAAAACACAAGCAGCGACCCAACTCTCAAAGCGAACACTCCCAGCCCACCCGGCGTCGCTGAGCGGGGCGATCGCAGGAAAGGACAGTACTTACAGCCGGCGCGCCTGTGGGTAATCCGCATCTCGGCCCGTTTGTTTGTTTGTTTGTGTAAAAATCAACACATCTCTATGTATTTGATTGAACACGTCTTCCACCGTGGAGAAGGAACGAAAACAAGAATCTCTAGCCTAGCGGGAATGGGGGAGGGGGATGGAGAGTTTCATTGTCTACGCTGTGCACACGCAGCCCAAGGAAAGACGCTCATTGCCGTATGGGGCTCCTTCTACTTTCTGCTTGAAATTCAGGAGCTTTCAACGCAGTAAAGCGGGGGTTTGGTCTCCCTCCCTGCCTCCCTCCTCTCCGTTCTCTCTCCCTCTCTCTCTCTCTCTCTCTCTGTCTCTCTCTCCCCCCACTTCTTCTCCCTCCTCTTCTCTCCCCTCCCTCTCTTCTCTTCTCTAGCTCCAACTCTCTCTCTCTCTCTCTCTCTCTCTCTCTCTCTCTCTCTCTCTCGCTTTTTTTCAAAAGAGGGCAGGTCGCTTCCTGCATCCCAATGAGTTAAATCAGTCACTTACTTCTCATGCATCAGCAGCCTCTTTAACAACCCGAGGGCTGCAGGCACAAAAGAGCATTTAGCTGCCTCCAATTTGTGGAGAAGGCCTGTCCTTAATTTGTTTTTGGAGTATAATTAAATCATGTATTTCACGTAATATAAAAATACCAAATTCCCAACTTTAGCGAATGAACTACTAATGGTAACCTTTGAAAATAAATCCGTCTTATTGGTGGTGTTCTTATGGAGGGCCTAGAATGTCCCAGAAATAGCGAGGCCTAGGATTTGGGCCCAAATCTACCCGCCCCTCCCCCCCCTTTCACATGTCAAGGTCACAGTCATATGATCCCCTATTGCTTTAAAATGGAGCCTTTTTGTCAACCCTTCTCCCTGGAAAGGAATTAAGTCTTTTTATGGGATGGGAAGATCTAAAGGATTAAATAAATAAATAAATACATCCTTAATCTGAAATACACATGTAAGCAAAATCACCCGTGATCAGATGTTGGGATGGTGGGGTGGCGGGGCTGACAGGCCCTGCGAGAGTGTGTCGTATCAGTTCACCCCTCCTTCCCTGTCGAATTCTGAGGTCGCTAGGTTTTGCTCGGTTTTCTTCCGGCCACTAAGTGGGCCGTGTGGGACTGCCGGGCCGGCGCCTTTTTAGCTCTCAGCGAGTCTCTGAGGGGTCCTGATCTGGCAGACACCGCCCTGTGCTCAGAGGGGTCTTGTGTACGGCTCTCCCTCCTCTGAAGGGGCTGGGGCACAAAGAGCAGCTCTGCCTTCCTACAGTTTCTCCTTCAGAAAGAACCCCAGGCCAGGCCATTGTTCTTCCTCCACAACCGGGGCCGAGGGTGACAACAGAGAGAGATCGTCTCTTCCCTGCACTCGCCACCCAAGGCTACTGCTGGGGAGAAATTTAGGAGTACTTTCTGGGAGATCATGGGATCTAATATCATTAACATCTTGGTTATCTCAGTATTTTCTTCGGCAATATTCCCTTAAGTCGTCAGTCGGCTCCCATTCCCCCTTCCCATTTTGTAGTTCTAACAGTGCTTGTTCAGAAACGTTGCGCTCAGATGCCAGAGAGGTTAGGACCGCAGACAGCAGCATTTAGTTCACCCGAAAGGGAATGATACAATGTAACTCGCCACTTTCCCCCTCTGAATATTCGCCCTTATCCCCCGAATCACCCTAGGGTTTTGAGTAAGGCCCTGTTTCACCTTGAGCATTTATCAAATCTTACTCAGTGGTCGATGCTACAGCAGGAGGATGCACAGGCCGCCAACACCCACCTGACATCTGCTTGAAATATCCAACAATACCTCCAACGGGGTCGCTCGCAAAAAGCAGAAAACCAAAAATGAAAGAGGAATTGTTTTTTTTTTAATTGAAAGAATATACATGTGTGTGTATAATACAATCCTGAGGTGCTGGGTTTGGGGGCTTGAATTACATAAGACAAAACATCTCTAGGGTTGAGCCCAGATCTAAAGCTTCACCGCACCGGTGTTTTATTCGCAGCGAACGACAACAGCTTTTTTTAAGGCACTAGTAGAAATGCGCATCATCCCCCTGCCCTATATCTTCCGCCGATGATGCTCATTCTATCCGTTTCCAGTTTATTGACCTGGGATGTGGGACTGCTCGGGATCGTCAGCGACTTGCCAAGTCTGAGAGAGACAAGGTCACGCAGTGAGCACCGGGCCCGCCGCCGGGAAGGTGTGGCTCTTTGCTCTGGTTAGCCAGCAGAGTCAGCCCTGCGAGATGACGACTTCAGACCACCCGGGTGGGCGCGTTAGCCAGCACCCTCCTCTCTCCCTCAGCTCTAGCAATGCCATCTTTACCGCATCGTCTTGGGCCCTGGAATTTCAGCCTTGTTGGTGGGGAGCCCTTGGGAAGGACCCCAGTAGCCGGTGGGTTTCCTATGAATGGGCTGTTCGCTCACCCGCGGTTTACTGAGTGGAGGCCACAAGGGGAAACGTGAGAGAGATCGGGGGCGAGCGCTGCAACTTTCGCCCGAGATTTGCATCCTGCACCCCAGATGGCAGGGCCGCGACACCTGCAAGGCAGCCCGCAGCCACCGCCTCCGCGCAGCTCTCGGGTTGGGGATCATGGAGTCTGACACAATAAGGTCACCTGCCACCTTGGGCCCAAATCGCTCGGAACCTGGCCCCCAAAACTTTTCTTGAGACACCTTTTCCTCTCGGTCCTGGCCTCCAGCTCTCTGCACAGGAAACTGAGGGGGCGATTCCCTTTCAGTTCCAAGTTTTGGGTTTGTCCTGCGCGCCAACCTCCCAGTGCCCTGCGCACTTCGTCGCCCAGGCTTGAAGCTTATGAAAATGTAACCCAACTCATTGCCAGAAGTTGTTGCTAATTAGTGGATAATAAACTTCTGTAGCCAGGGCACAAAAGTCTTTTAAAAGTGCAAAGGTGTTCTTTGTTGTGGCATCAGAAAAGGGATTAGCATATCAATTGGACTGGGGGGACCGGACAATGAGCCCTCCTCCCCCTGCGCTGCCCTGAGTTCGCCGCCCGCCGCCGCTTCACCCTCTTTCAGTCCTTCCTCCTCCTAGTCTTCCTCTCCCAGCTCCAAGAGCTGTCAAGACTCGGTTGGGGAGCGCGGGGCCGCTGGCTGGGACCGAGCAGGCAGGCGCAGTGCGCGCTTCCCGCCGCCCACCAGGCCGCGCGGCCTGCGCTGCGCCCGCGCCCTCGCCCCTTGCTGAGGGCCCAGCCTAGCCCCGCTCCCAGACGCGCGCCGGGGGAGGTGGAGGCGCGTGGGGGCGCACAGCCCGAGCGCGGAGGCTCGGGGCGGCAGCGAGGGCGTGGACGAGGCCTGCCAGGGAGAGCGGACTCGCGCGGTCCCACGCGGCGCCCCCTCCCAGCTCTCGCGGCCTGGGTGCCCGCACACCCGCGCACGTCGCCAGGCGCGCGGAACCTTGGCTGACTTCCACTCCCTTGGCAATAGGGCACAGCCGGCGACACAGCCGGCTCCCCACCCTCCTGCGGCCTTGACGCCCCACCCGCTGACCTGGCGACCCAGGCTAGCGGCGTCGGGTGGCTGGCGAGAGAGCGTAGGGGGAAGCCGAGACCCTCAGGCCCGAGGCAGCCGAGTCCTCGGGGGCTGCGGGTCCGCTCGGCTGGTCTCGGGGTGAGGTGCCCTGCATCTGCCCACCCGGGGCCGCCGAGGCGAGGCGGCTGGAGCGGTCCAGGCCCGAGTAGGCCGGGCCAAGTCTCCGCGAGACCTCGCCTCGTCCCGCCGACCCCATCGGCACCCCCAGCCCAAGCCGCGGAAGCCAAGCCGCCTCCCCCGGCCCCGGCAGAAACTAGAAAGCCCGCCCCAGGCCAGGGGCAGGAGAGCAGAAGTAAGTCTCCGAGACGGAGAGGTGGCCCAGGCCTGCAGAGCCTCGGCCCCGGCTCCCGCCGCGCCCCCGCCGGCTGCGTTGGCCCCAGAGCGCGCTGGGGCAGAGGCGCAGGGGCCTGCGGGGCCGCCTCTGGCCCGGAGAGCAGAGGAGCAGAGAAAGGCTCGGGGAAGGAAGACGAGAGGGCGAAACTAGCAGCGACGGCTGCGCGCTTCGCCTGCTGCCGGCCGCGCCAGACCCGCCACTTCTGGGCCGGCCGTGAGCAGCCACGGGCCGGGCGCCCGCCTCTCGGCCGCGCAGCCCCCGCCACGCCGGCAATCCCAGCGAGAAAACGCTTTCTTTCCTTTTTCTTCTCCCCTCCCCCTTTCCCCTTTCTCCCTAGAGGCAGCTTCCGTCCTCTAAATGCAATTCAAAAAAAAAAAAAAAAAAAAAGGAAATCTACTTTTCCCTCCCGTCTCGTCTCCTCCTAACACTGGTGTTAGGCGAACAAGCGCCAAACTCACACAAGTTTTCCCGAAAACGAACAGCTTTAACTGCCGTGAGGGAAAATGTCGGGGAAAAAAGTGGAGGTCGGTGTCTCCCTAAATGCAAAACATCAGAGAGGCGTCTGAAAAGAGCTTTACTTTCCCTGCGAAATCTCCATTGTTGCCTGGCAAACAATGGGAGCCCGGGCGACCGTAGGGCTGCGAGAATGAATAGGCGACCCACGGGATGTGTGCGGGTCAGTGCTTGGGGTCCCGGGCCTAAAGCCCCTTTCTCAGCTTGCCACAATAAACCAGCGCAAGGTTTAGTCTTTACTGGGTCACCGGCCATCCTCCATTATTCAAAACTTCACAACAAAAAACACTTATTAATCAGCGCTGACCAGAGGCCCCTTTTGAAACAAGAGAAGAGGGGAGAGAGAGGGAAGGAGAGAGGGGTGAAAAGAGGATTGAGAAGCCCTGGACAGATCTTTCTAAAGCCAGAGCGACCGTGGGGTACTTTCCTCCAGTGGCCAAAGTTTATTTGACACAACAAAGTTTCTAATCAGGCTACTACGGAGACCTGGATTTCTCCTCCTTTGCCTTACTCAGGGTCTCTTCCTCTGAAGATGTTGCAGACTCTTTTGCGAGGAAGGATGGCTTTAGGTCAAATTGCTAAGGCCTGATCTTAAAGATCTAATTGCTATTGGAAGAGAAGCCTGTTTCCCAGCTGGGCCTCCACTCTGGAGATGGAGCGAGGAAGACTGTCCAACTCTGCTCTGGGCACCCTGCTGATGGATGAGGTGTCAGGCCAGTCGTCATGTGAGGACTGGTTTCCAAATGGTATGAGCCAGTAGTCAAATGTGGTACTTATCGGTGATACTGAATGCAGTCTGTAGATTTTCTACTTCATGATGTTTTAGGCCGGATATATTAAAAAACTAAACTTGCTTGCTAGAGTGAAGAGGTTCTGAACTGATTGTTCCTATGCTTAGACAAGGATTGAAG